GCGTGGCAGAGGCAAAAACAATGAGGGTCACCCTGAGACAAGGGGGACCGAGCAACCCTCAAACTCGCACACAGCGAGTGGGGACTCCGGGGTCACATCCATCGGACCCACGCGCCCCCTAGGGGATTCCCAGGGGATTCCCAGGGTCCTGAGCGTTTACTTTAAGAGAACCCGCGCTCAGGTAGTCCCAGGCAGGGTGCTGCAAACCGGCGCCCAAAACTACCAAGCAAACTTCTAAAGCTGAACCCCAGGGACGTGTACACTCACGGGGACCTAGCAGGGGGCGCCACCGAGGAGAACAGTGGAAGGGCAAAAACAAACTGAATAAAATGACAGAACCCCCCACCAGGCAAAAACAAAAAGAAAAACAAAACCCCGCAAGAGGACAGCGAACCCCAAGGAACAGAGCTGGCCGCGATGTCGGGAAATACAAGCTGAGCAGCACCCTGCGCCCCTACCAGTTCAAACTGCCTCTTACCTGCCGGTAACAAGGGAGAACAGAACACCCAAGAGCCCAACAGGCGGCCGAAAAACCAAAAGGTAAAACAGACCAGCAGAGGCAGACCCCGAGGAGCCTGTGGAAGGTGGCCCCAAGCCCCAAGGGCAGTACTTACAGGGCACCTAGGGAAGGCAGCCCTAGGCGCATGCAGCCCGAGTACTGAAGATAACTCCTGGCTCTCGCACCCACAAAACCAACACCACACGCAAAGCACAGTGCAGTAGCGACACCGGAGCCAGAGCACACGACCATCGCCTATAGCATCAGCCTCAAGAACTGAGGTGTGGGTAGCCGGCGCGGGGGGTCTGGGGCTCCCCCTTCCCCCTCCCGGGGAGGGGGGAGCTGCGCAGACAGCGGCGCGGCGGTGGGTGACGTCATACTAGTTTGCTTGTTTTCGGTTGGGGAGTTCTATCCACTAGTTCGGTTTTTGGTAGCAATTTTAACCAGAATAGGGGTTTGTTTTGGGGCGCTTACCTTTCTGGGTGCCTGTTCCGGTCGATGGCAGACATAGAATGCTACCAACTACACGGGGGCTTCTATAGGCCATAGCTCCCCTTGCCTCTCTGAGGGGGCCCGGTTCTGGCCGTGGTCCCCGGTAGGCCTAAGAACTCCATACACATGACTGATGCCAAAGTCTGACATTAGCATATCAGCCTGGGATAGCTCCGGGGAGCCGACGGGGCTCCCCCCAGAAAAACTACGAAAAATCAGAGACATTGAAATAATTAGGTAATTATCTCTTTGTGGAAACTCTGGCCTGACAGCTGGCGATCCACAGACCGCCTAGGACGCACGCTCAGTCAGCGCCTGATTTTTGTCACACTTCCCCGCCCTATAGCGGGCAATATATGCCACTTACGATTTTATTATTATTTTTCCTGTGATCAGTGAACACAAATTAACAGGTTAAGAAGAAAAAATAATTTTTTTTTTTTTTTTTTTTTTTGGTATGCGCCTGTGGGTGTCAAATGGTATATAGCTATGCGCCATTTAAGGGTTAACCCTCAAACCGCTCGGGGTCCAAATGGAATTAACACCCACACGCGCAACAAAAAAAAAATTCTAAAATTTTTTTTTTTTTTTTTTAATCTCTTTATTTGTGTTCCCTGAGCACAGGAAAAATAATAAAAAAAATTTAATTACACTTACCGTGGACGTTAATGACCCGAGAAGATCGTCGATGACGTCACGCCTAATCTTCGCTGGACCGCTGTGCGCCCGGGGTGAGTCAGGCGCGACGGAGAAGGAGCGCGAGTTGCCGCGAATTTATTTTCGCGTTATTATTTACAGTATCTATGGCGTATTTTACACCCATTTTTTTCACTGGTGTGGTTCAATATGTTCTCACAAGATGATTTATAAACATAAAACTGTTGCCAATGTATATTGTATCCACATATTAGTGTCACAAGTATTTGCACAAAAATGTCTTATTTCACAATAAAATATACTATTTCTTATGATTTATTTCCATTATATACACTCACTTATTCTGTATTTACATGTTTTGGCACCAGTCTTGGACATTTAGAAGTCATCAAGACTGTAATACTCGTTGAAACATCGGACATGGCACAGAGGGACCTGACACGCTGTGCACCAAGTCATCACCATTTTTCTTTTCTGTTCCCTCTTGGTTGTTGACCAGCATACTACACACGCACGCTGGCCTACTGCACGCTTTCCAGTTGGTGGTAAAAACCTGAGATTGTGTGTCAAAAAGGCATCCCTGAAAGCGAGCCTGGGTGTTGGAGCATGGTGCAATACCGGGTTCAGAATGGGCCTCTGTACACCAGGAATTACTTTGCCAAACTTCTGTAGTAATTGTGTTACTACAGTAAAATTGAATGCACGGAAATTACGTTTACCACCTGTTTTGACAAGATACATATTGTAACTGTTCAGCATTGTTAAATCAACAAGGTGGAAAAACATTTTCTTTGTCCACTTTACTGTTTTCCGTACACACTCCACTGCCCCCACCATCATATCACATTTATCCACCAAACGCATGTTGATGTTATAGTCCAAGACACAATCTGGCTTATAGATTATTTCTCTGGTGGTTCTGTTCACCTTGCCACTGTCCAGCATTGTTCCAGCATGAATGGTGGTCAACATGTTCACTTCACGCCTGTCTTTCCACCGCACTGAAAGCATTCTACCTGTTTTTCTGAGCTCGCAATCACCAACCTGCATAGCACCTGGAAACACTGGCATTTCCCTTCGTTTTGCCTTCACTGTGCCACACACACCAGTTCTATTATCAAGCAAGAACCTAGTTAGCAAGGGACTGGTATAATAGTTATCTGTGTATAATATGTGGCCCTTGTTCAGATATGGTGCAAGCAGTGACTTCACAACACTACCTGAGAAGCCATGTTGGTCATTAGCAGGAATGTCTACATTTGTACCCGTATACATTATCATATGTAACACAATTCCTGTTTCACAGTCACAGAGTACAAAGAATTTCAATCCAAATTGGTGGCGTTTGGAGGGAATATACTGCTTGAAGGCAAGACGTCCTTTGAAAAGCACAAGGGATTCGTCAATCACAAGCTTCTGAGCTGGTACGTAGAAATCCCTGTACTTTCCGATAAGTTCATTCAGTACGTGCCTTACCTTCCAAAGCCTATCTTCATCATTTGCAAAGTGAAGACACCTGAGGATTATCGCAAATCGGTCTCGAGACATATATTTGCCAAACATTGGTGTTGGAACAGTATGGTCTTTGCTCCAATAATGATCGATTACGTGTTTGACACAATGTTTCATCAACATACACAGTGCCAAAAACACATAAATTTCACCTACAGTCGTATCTTTCCATCGCTGCAAACGTGAAAAATCGGATAACTCCTCCTCATCAATGAGATCACTCGCATATTTGTTCGCCTCATGAACAAGATGTTCCATTAGCGGCTCATCAAAATATGCAGTAAAATAGTCCATTTCACACATATCTGCACCTTTATCAGGGAAAATGTCTGTAATTCCAACATCTGAATTATCAAAAACAGGAATTTGTGGAACAAAATCTGTCCCATCACTCCACACAAAAACACCGGGTGTCTTTCTAGAGCCAATAGCGGCACCACGGCGAGGAAACCGTGTACCAGGAGCTGAAGCAGGTCTAGGAACAGTAGGGGCGGGCAGGGATGGTGATGGAAAATTCCTCGATGTTGAGGGTCTTTGTTCATGTGGTGCCATGCGGTGCCGCATGGCTTGGCCAGATGCTGCCGACGCGACAAATTGTCACTTGGCAACACCACACACTCCTCCACTGGCACTAGCGAAACTATTTTCCGATTCTAAGTCACTAAAACCGGAAAATGATTCACCTTCTTCAGAATCGTCGAGCAAAACATCAATATCTTGCAAGGGAGCACATGAACTGTGTGGTCTTACTGAAATTGGGGTGGAGTGCGGGCGAGGAGGCATGGGCGAGATGCTAGGCCTAGCCCTGGTGGAGCTAGCATGTTCACACTCGTTGTCGGTCGTATCCACCTCTGAGGGCTGTGTATAGTCATGATCAAAGTCTGAGTCGTCTATATCAGACTCATCACCATCCAGGAACAAATTACGAGTAATTTCGTCCTCGGTCAGAGGTCGCGAGGAACGTCTCGCTGAGCGGGGTCGGTCGTCGGAACGTGATGCGCTCGCCATGGTGTCCGCCGGGTAACTGAGCTCTGTACACAAAGGGGACCCACGCTGGATTTTTTTCCCAGACGGGGTTTGTTTATGTTTGGTCGAGGCTCGCCGATGACTACCCCTATCCCAGGCGGGGCGTTTAAATTATAGCGCTAGACACGAAATCATATATAAATGATGTGCGCGGTTTCGGTTTTGTCACTAATATCATATATATATGATATGCGCGGTTTGAGGGTTAAACATACCAAAACTAGAAGATAGAAGAAAAAAGAGGTGATATAATCACCACTTACAAAATACTAACAGGAATTGACTAAATTGACAAAGAGGAATTCCTGAAACCAGTAACTTCATGAACAAAAGGACACCGATTTAAGCCAAGGAAACAGAGGTGCCAAGAAACATATTATAAAATTTTCTTTTGCAAACAGAGTGGTAGACGGTTGGAACAAGCTAAGTGAGAAGATGGTGGATTCCAAAACCGTCAATTGTTTCAAAGCATTATACGACAAAGAGTGCTGGGAAGACGGGACACCATGAGCGTAGCTCTCATCCTGTAACTAAACTTAGGTAATTACACTAAGTGTAATTTAGTAGTTTCAGAGATAGTAGTTTCAGGAAACCACAAGGGGTTTTCCCCAGAAATGTATGCACAACAATGAATGATATGATTATAAAGTCTCATTCTGCTATAAAATTTCCTACAAAATCTCGTTCTTCAAAAGCAAAACAAAAAAAATGGATGCAAACTCATTTTGGCTTTAAATATGAGTTGTAATATTAGCTAAATATGTTAAAAAATGCAATAAAAAGGAGATAGATCATGCAATTGCTCGACTCTTACCTGTACACAGAGTTGTCCGCATCACGGTAGTGTGTGAGGGAGAGGCCTATTAGGGAGACTGCCTTGGGCAACAGTTGACTCGTCTCAATATGAGGGATGACACGACTAGCAAACCCTGCTACTATTACCTTACCCTCGTGCGCCACGCTGAACAAAATATAAGATGAACAGTTAGACAAATTTTTAATTATCTAAGAATTATGTTTTTGACACACACACAAATCATATTGTCGTGATATATCCATGAACAAATTGATATATCAATTTGTTTTATGTTTTAGATATGCCAGTTTAAATAACTGAAGGGCTGGTCCTCAAAACCAGCTTCTGTTTATGGATGGACAGTACCAATACAATTAGATTTAGTGAAAATGTTTTGGTAATACTTTTTTTTTATTCTGTACTTAACACAACATAGTTATTAATACTGAACGGTCAATGTTGGAGCGTACACAGCATGTGTATGTTGGATGTGTAACAAAAAGGAGGCCTGATCGAGGACCGGGCCGTGGGGACGCTAAGTCCCGAAATCATCTCAAAATAACATCAAGATGTACAAGGAAATTTAACACTCACTTTCTAATGATGCATTTTGCCATCATTCTTGACTTTTTGACTCCCTATCTAGTGATGCTCTATGTGAAAACTGTGTTGGAGGCTTTATATGTTTGCTGCATCCCATTAGTTCTCACAATGTGTGGAAAAACTATTTATTACATAATTGACAAAAGCAGTAATCGATATATAGGCTTACAATGCAATATGTACCTTGTATTCTGATCCTGGCACAACAAAGGAAGTGTCTGACAACCCACGCCACAGCTATTCTGTCTATTAATGTCATCCAGAAATAGATTTAAAAATCGGTCAGAAAACCAAATTGTAATTTGACGATAACTGCACTGCTTGTTTTACAAAATAACCTCATTGATAGGAAGCAATTAAAAATGACAGCAGAATTTTTTCCCCGAGTCACTCAGACCTGCCAAAAGGTTTCCACCGCAAATGCTCCACGGTCGGGGAAGGGCGTCACATATATCACATCAGGAGACGCTGCAACCACACCGATGCAAAGAGATCCACCTCCAGGAGCCCGTACGTACGGCAGAGCCAACTGAAGGAGTCAGTGTTGACTGTCCATTCTGTGGACAGGGGAATGAACCGAGACAGGTCGTCCATCAAGACGTTGGACACTCCCCCCACGGATATGAACCGCACGGAGAGTCAAACCCCGAGAAACTAGCAGATGAACCACTCGAAGCGACCAGCCCCAGAGAGGCAAGGACCAAAGGGAACCTCAGCAGCTCAGGCAATGAACCACTGGAGAACAGTCCGAAAGTAGCCGGATTGTGGAACCCGAGTGACCCAAACCCTCCAAAGCGACATTCAAACTGACACGAATTCCCGCACCGTGCTGTGAACCCGACGGTAGGACGAACCTCACCACCCCTGGCCTGTCTGGTGAGCACTGGTCACAAAGTCCCAGCCAAGAGATGATGCATCAGTGAACACATCGAACGAGGGGCTCGGGTAGGCCCCAAGGCACTGAACCCCCAAAAAACACGAAGAGGAAGCCGGTGAAGCAGCAACCTACGCAAGGCACATGGAGGCTGAACCCAGCGATCGCGAGAGAGGAGGAAGGGGCACCCCAGAAGGAACCAGAACAGACGCCGAAGCCAAACCACACCCAGCATGACGAAGTTCTTTCTTCCACACAACTGCTTAAGCAACCATCGATGGACCCGGGATTTCCCTAGAAACAGCTGAAGGCGGGACCGTAGCTGCAGCAATGCCTCCGGAGGGAGAGACATGGAAGCGGTCCGAGAGTCCCAAACAAGACCCAGCTAGGTCCAAACCTGGGACAGAAACAGATGGGGCTTCCTCCAGTTCACAGGGAACCCGAACCCGGCAAGCTGGGAAACAACTACACCCCTGGGGAGCAGACAAGTGGACCGACTGGGAGCCCACACCAGCCAGTCGTTGAGGTAGGCCAGGACCGGTACCCCTAGCAGACGCAGACAGGCCACCACAACCCGGGTAAGATGCATGAATACGCGAAGTGCCAGATTCAAGCCAAAAAGAAGGCAATGAAAGTGGTAAGCCTAACACCCAACAACAAAACTGAGCCAGTCCCTGAAACCTGGATGAATTGGGATGTGCCAATAGGCGTCCCGGAGATCCAGGGACACCATTCAAGCATCTGGCTCTAAAAAAAAGATGGACCTGGGACAGAGTAGTCATCCGAAAGGAGGGGAAATAGACCCAGGGGCTCAGACATGACTAGTCCAGAATGAACCACAGGTCTACACAGTCCTGTTTCGGAACTGGAAACAGGCGGGAAACCCACTCAAGGAACGAGGACGTTTCAACCACTCCCATGCAAACCCACTCCATGATGACCTGACAGAGCACAGGAGAGGAGGCCTGCCCTGCCAGCCCTGAACCCCCCGAAGAGGGAGAGGCCACCCAACTCCACCGCAGGCTGCAAGAAATGACTTGAAAAGCCCACAAATCCTAGGGCAAGGCGTGAGCAAACAGCCCAAGCTTTTCCCCCCCATCTCCCCATCAATGGGACGAACCGCAAAAGGGCAGATGCCCCTTACAAGAAGCCGACAGATGAGCAAAGCGATCACTGCGCTGACCAGATGTCGCCGGCTCAGAAACTGGCACAACTGGCCTACCACGACAGGAGGAACCTGAGCCTGTTACGACCCAGGTAATGATTATTACCTGACTCACAGTAAATACACCTTCTACACCCATCTCAGATGGTAGCATGTGTATGAGAGAAATTGGCATTTACATTTGCAATATAAATAATGTATTGAGTGATATAGCAGAATGTATGACAGTTTGTATGTTAATGTATAATGTATGATGTATGAGGGTGTCATGGCTGGCCTGTTAAGTGAACAGGAAATGTTTGCGTCTATTACCTGTGTACGCCTTTGGAAGGTGGAGCGAGTATGGATCGGCTGTTGGGTTGCCAGATGTCGCCTCCTTTTAGAAGTACGTAAATCTATTATTTAACACTTTCGCGCTTTAGATTAGAGATAACTCGTCGCCGTTTTTTCTTACGATTCCGCATAACAGCCTACTTTTCTCATCCATCGAAAAAATATTTCTATAAATTCCATTTTTTAACCGAAATGGATGGGGATACTCTCAGATTATATACGTTTTGTAGAGAATTTATTTGCGAATTTTTTGGTACCAGAATGAATATTATATCACATAAACTTCTATGAGTAAAAAAAAAAAAACACAAAGTATGTTTGGGGGTGTGGCGGGTGTGGCTCTGGGTGTGGCGGCCGTGTGGCAGTGGGTTCCCTTTAGCCGTTGATATATCCAACACGTGGGAAATATTTGTATGTGTTATGTATATGTCTGTGTAGGGAATTTTACTGCGATCACTGTCATACAAATTATAAAATGTTTCAACAAGTATAAACATGACAAACATCAAACGAACGAAAACAATGCGTTCGTTTCTGCCGCGAACGCATACTGAGCGACGTTGTTCTATATTTGGCGCTTCTCTTACACATGCTTTGTACAAATGTTATACATTTCATCTTATAGAAAATTTTATTGCGAACACATTGGTATAAAAAAGAAATACGTACATAGAAAAGTAGGGTCAGGAAACGTATAAATGTATAAACTTTCCAAGCATGATTTCCCCCCTGTGTTTTCGCCAGTGCGCTCGCGGCTAACTACTCTCCACTTCACACACTCTTGCGGGTGGGCAATTACCTATATTAAACATTCATATGAATATGTCCGTGTAGAGAATTTTATTGCGATTCCAATGATACCAAAATTAGCGATGTAGGACAACTGTAGGCTTCGCAACCATTAAGAGAGTGGAAACATTTTGTTGCTGTTTGGCGCTCTCGGCGAGTGATCTGCATAGTTTTTTATTTGGTGTTGATACTCCTTATGCTTGGGCGGCATTTTATAGGTATGCTCTTATAGACAATTTCATTGCGAACACAGTGATACCAAATTTAAATACGTGCGCCTTCAATTATTGTCAGGACAGTCAAAAGAGTGTACACTTTTTCGGTCTTACCGCGTAGGCGCGCGAAGTGCCGAAAGCATCTGGGGTATTGATTTTTTTTGAGCACCGAGAGCGCGAAAGTGTTAAGCCAATTAAGAATGTTTATACTTTTAGTTATATTATTAGCTTGTGTGAAACATTACACTAGTATGATTGTGTCAGTATGATATTGATTACTTTAGTAATTAGTTTGATAGTTAAGAATATTATTAATCGTTCGTCATCCCCTAGTAAGAGGCAGTTGGGAGGGTTGTCAGCCAGCAGGAGCTCAGTAGGAGCTGGAGATCTGAGCTGGGACCATATAATTTTACTGGAAGTTAAGTCTTGTAATTGCTTTCTTGTTCTAGTATAGGTGATAGTTATCTGAGGAGACATACATTTTGTGAGCCATCTCTTACCGTAGAATTAATTTGCAGTGATTATATTATACTATATAAATAGAATCTATATATATATATATTCTTATATGTGTACATGTGTTTACTTATCCATTTTTTATCTTTAAATTGTATCTACATAGGAGAATTCTGGTGTATCAAATACATGCATAGTACTGTCCCCCTAGATACTTTTCCAGTGCTGCCAGATACACAAACTTTGCTGTACTAGATAGGTAACAGAGCCCTGGCACAACTTTTCCAGGAAGAGCCCCCACGGCCTCCTCTGGAGAACCAACAAGTTCGACATGGGATGACCACTAGAAGAACCTGCCTGCAGATACTGCACCAACGCAGACTCTGCAAACAGCAAAAGACAAAAAGGCGTAGAAAACCTAAGAGCCAGAGCTCAAGTGGATTCCAAAGACTGAGCATGCACCCCCCTGACGACACGCGAGATGAGAAGCAAAGAACAGAGATACCACCTCCCGCAGGATCTGTGCAAACAGCTTCAACAGGGCCGCCAACGCCCACACAGCCGAGACCATCGTACCAGAATCAGGATCAGCACCCAGTGCCTCCACATCCTCCTCAAGCCAGTCTGAAATCAGCTCGAGAAGGGAAAAAGAAATGGAGAACCAAAGCCAAATGGCCATGGGCGTACAAGTCCTCAGCCACCAGGGTCGCCGAAAGGGAGGGAACCTGCACGTGAAGTTGCACCAGGCCGATGTCCCGAGGAAGGGCAGGGGCGAATAGACACGCACTGAGGCATTCAAATTCGCCCCCACAGGTAAATTTGAACAACCGTGAAAGTCTCTCACCACTCAAGCGTGCAGGACCGACAGAACGTATGCCATGCCCCCAACGAAAAGAGAGGACAGTCTGTCAACCAGGATGACTCCAGAACCTCTTAACGAACCCAGTAAGAAAAGGGAGAACCAAACTCAAAAGAGACAGGATCCATTATCGAGGCATAATCCAGGTCATGCAGAAGGTAAGCCACAAGGGTCTCCCGCATCTCATGAGGCGGGATGCGGAAAGCCAAAAACCTCCAGAAGGGAGGGACCGAAGAACCCAAGGGAACCCAGAACCGAACCCGGGAATGAGCTGACACCATATCAAACTCATTCATGGAGGGAGGATAAGTAACCACCCTTTCCCCCCGGTAACAACAAGCCCCACTCAGAGGGTACCAGCACCCAAGCGGGGTCAAACGGGGCCCAAGCCCCCAAGTCAGCCCCTCCCTTGTCCCCGGGAATCTCCACACCATGACCCAGGGCCAAGTCATCCTCCAAATCCTCTGCCCTCAAAAGAAAAGGCAAAGTCCACCGAAAAAGCAGGAAAGGAGGGAGCCCACTGGTCAGACCCAGAAGCACCGGCTGTAGGAACTGGCTCGAATACCTCCATCGCCACACTGGAGGGGGCATTCCCCGAAACTGCCCGAGTCTCACCACGAACTAAACCCTGCCCCGACTCCGAAACCCTCAGACACTTCGGAGCCGGATGCAGAAGAGGAAGGAACAGGACGAGCAGTAGCAGGGGAAGGACAAGGGAGCACGGACTAAACCAAAGTCGGGCAACTAATGCCCCTCAAGTACGGGTCCCTATAACCAAAACAGGGCAGCCGTGTGGCATCCGTGTGAGCAACCAACCTAGTGTGCTGCGGCAACCTAAAACGTGCATGCAATGCCGAAGCTGCCTGCACCCGAATATCAAGATCAATGGATTGGGTGAATCGGAGTACATGCAAGGAATACCACTCACAAGACTCCGGGTCAAAGGTGTCACCGACCCAACATGCAGCATGACGGAGGCAGAACAGGTGATTGTCACCCTGAAACTATGGGGAAAGAGCAACCTTCAAACTCGCACGAAGCAAGATAGGACCCAGGGGACACATCCATTGGACCACCGAGTCCCAGTGGGGTTTTCTCAGGGCCTTTAGACGCTCTGCTAAGGAAAGTCCGGGCAAGGTACTGCTAACTGGTGCCCCAAACTGCCAAGTGAACTACTAATTGCTGAACCCCTGTGACGTGTACACTCACGGGGACCTAGTGGAGGACCACAAGAATATAAATAAGAGTCAACAACCCCAAGGGCAGAACCCCCACCGGGCAACAAACAAAAATAAAAGAAAACCCCCGCAAGAGTACAACGTCCCCAGGCCGAACAGAGCCGGCCGCTATGTTATGGTGAAAACTTGCTGCACAGAACCTTGTGTCCCTACCAGTGATGAAACTACCTCCTACCCAGAGGCAAATAGAGGCATATGAAACACCTCAGCTGACCCCAAGGGCAGGCAATCAACGAGCAGCAAAAGACCCCATGGAAGTAAGTCCCAAGCGACTTGTGGAAGGTAACTCCCAAGCCACAAGGGCAGTACTTACAGGGCACCTAGGGAAGGTAACCCTAGGTGCATGCAGTCCATGTACTTGAGAAATTACTCCTGGTCCACACACCACCAGAGAACAGGACCACACAACAAGACACCACTGGACAACATCAGGGACTACAGAGTCACATTACCGTTAAGGTCTCGCATCAGCCTCAGAACTGGAGAGTGGATAGCCGATGCGGGGTATGCTGCACTGACAGTGGCGCAGTGACGGTTGTGATGTAATGTTCTTTTTTAGTTTGGGGAATTCTGTCCAACAGTTTGGCTTTTAGTAGCAAAATTTTAACCAGATAGGGTTTGTTTTGGTGCACCTACCTATCTGGGTGCCTGACCCAGTTGACGGCAGATATAGAATGCTTCCAACCACATACGGGGGGGGGTCTCTATAGGCCTTTGCTCCTCATGCCTCTCTGAGGGGGCCAGGTTCTGGCCCGTGGTTCCCGGTAGGCCTTGAACTCCATTCGTTTGACTGATGCCAGGGTCTAATACATTCATATCAGCCTGGATAGCTCTGGGGAGCTGAAGGGGCTTCCCCCAGAAATGCAAACCAAGCCCTGGAAATAATCAGGTGTACCTTCACCTTCAAGGAGAGGATAGTAGTCGTTCAGTTGTACAAGTCTCTAATGCGCCTCTACCTGGATTATTGCATCCAGGCATGGAGACCTCATCTTCAGAAAGACATAGCTGCTCTGGAGAAGGTGCAACAATGGGGAACAAAAATCATCAAAGAGCTTAAGTCATCTCTTATGTCAGGAATGGTTGAGAGCCACTGGGCAAACAACACTGCAAACTAGCCATGACAGGGTGGATCTCACCAAAAACCTTTAAAATACAGTACAGTACTGAACAATTTGGAGAATGTCGATCCGGACAATTTCTTCAAAAGGTCAGACGGAACACGAACGAGGAGCAACGGGTTCAAGCTCAACAAGCCACAATGGAGGATAGGAAACAGGAGATGCTTTTTCACCCATAAGGTTGTAAACTCACGGAACTGCATACCCACCAAAGCCGTAAACGCCCAAACTCTGCTGGGTTTTAAAATACAGCTGGAAAATATCATCAGGGGGCAAATGGGAGGACCTTTGTCCTCGTCGAGGCCACTAGTATTAATGGCCCTCAGGTAAATATCACAAAGAATCGGAGCTAGGTAGTTGTTGTGAAGGAGAAGGCTCTGCATCCCGAGTGGGAAAGGATAGCTCAACTGTCTCAGTTGCCGAAGTGAATAGGGCAGCCCCCAGAGGTGGATGAGCTACTTTCAAATTTAAACCCAGACCTAATATCAGAACTCTCAGATGTTTGGGAGCCTAAACATAGGAGGAAGACCAGATGCTGGGTGAACAGCAGGGAGGAGGAGGAGGAGGAGGAGAGAGAAACTGAGAGCATTTGCCTTTTTTTGTTTTTTGGCGCATAGGCAGATGTGTATACACACTTCGAGACCAAAGAGCCAAAGCTCAACCCCCGCAAGTACAATTAGGTGAGTACTGTTGACAGCTGTACTTTTCAAATCAAATCAAATCATATAGTTTATTCAGGTAGAAGTGAATATATATACAAGATGAGTTACAAACTGAATGCTGAATTTCTAGATAGAGCTCGTACATACAATGCCTAAAGCCACTAATATGCACAGCGTTTTGGGCAATCTTGCCCAAATTTGGGCAAAATTTGTTTTGGGGTTAAAGAGCAACTGAGTGGCATATCTCATAAAACGTACGTTCTCTTCTGTAAGAAAACCAAATATAACTACTACATCAATAATGCATGAGTATTATGTTTTAAGTGTTTGGAGTCAAAAATTATTTTACAAATCTAGTAATCCTAATGTAATAATCATTATAATATACATACACAAATGTGTTTCAAGATTTCCAATTATTCCCACTCTTAGAATAAATAAGGATAAAACTGGAAGTGCATATAGATTAATTACCCCTTCTAATTATAGATACACGCAAACATAAGTCATATGAGGGGCCTGACGGCCAAGTGGACAGCGCTCGCGATTCGTAGTCCTGAGGTTCGGGGTTCAATCCCCGGTGGAGGCAGACACAAATGGGCAGTTTCTTTCACCCTGATGCTCCCTGTTCACCTAGCAGTAAATAGGTACCTGGGAGTTAGACAGCTGCTACGGGCTGCTTCCTGGGGGTGTGTAACAAAAAAGGACGACCAGGCCTCGGGGACGCTAAGCCCCGAAATCATCTCAAGATAACCTCAAGATAAGATGAAAATCATTTTGAGGAACTGGAGTGACTCAAACACACGTTCTGGTGAATCCCAGACACCTGGCCCCCTTTAAATGTTTTTCAGTGATATATCAAGCCACTATGATTTCTTTGTGATATAAGTCAGATATTTGAACAGACAGATGGTTATTTTCTTGAGGTTATCTGGAGATGATTTCGGGGCTTAGTGTCCCCACGGCCCTGTCCTCGACCAGGTCAACAGTAATACTAAATGTTGTACTTACAGTAATGCAGAGAACATAGAAATAACTTACCATTGCAAACAATCATTGAAGATGTCTCCTCCAACTGCATCAAAGACAATATCAACACCTTTACCATTAGTCATTTCATTTACCTGTAGAATAATAGTAATAAATAGTAATATAAAACAGGTGACCTACAATCACGAGCTCTTATCAATTGCACAAGATATTGTACATGTTAAAAATGGTTTTATGTAAATTAATATGAATAAAAGAAATTCAACGAAAGAAGGTTGTATTTTACAAAAAACCAGCGTTGAATGTAATGAAATGCCATTTTCTGGGTGAGTCCCGGAGGCTCCCCGGAGCTATCCCAGGCTGATATGCTAATGTCAGACTTTGGCATCAGTCATGTGTATGGAGTTCTTAGGCCTACCGGGGACCACGGCCAGAACCGGGCCCCCTCAGAGAGGCAAGGGGAGCAATGGCCTATAGAAGCCCCCGTGTTAGTGGAAGCATTCTATGTCTGCCATCGACCGGAACAGGCACCCAGAAAGGTAAGCGCCCCAAAACAAACCCCTATTCTGGTTAAAATTGCTACCTAAAACCGAACTAGTGGATAGAACTCCCCAACCGAAAACAAGCAAACTAGTGTGACGTCACACACTGCCGCGCCGCTGTCTGCGCAGCTCCCCCCTCCCCGGGAGGGGGAAGGGGGAGCCCCAGACCCCCCGCGCCGGCTACCCACACCTCAGTTCTTGAGGCTGGATGTCAAAAACGCGAAAAACCGCCGACCGGAGGGAGGGAGGGAGGGAGGGATGCCGGGGAGCCTCCGGGACTCACCCAGAAAATGGCGTTTCATTACATTCAACGCTGGTTTTCTGGGGGGAGCCCCGTCGGCTCCCCGGAGCTAACTACCCACAGACAGAAAAAGAGGGACTTACCCGGGAGGCGGTCGTCGCTCACCCCTCAACTCGAAGCCGAGACAACTGGCTGCAACCGCCGATCACAAAACATGATGCACCCCCGGCCAGACCAACCAAGCATCAACCACCCATGGACCCCTCCGGAACGCAGCAGTCTCATTCTTCGCCAGAAAAGAAGGAGACGGCTGCAAACGAACAAAACTATCACCACGACCAAAAGAGCAGAAACCCCTGCGCCGGAGGAGAGCATGAAGCTCCCCTACCCGACCCCCAGAGGCCAAAGCCAACAAGAAAAGTGCCTTGGAAAAACAATCCTGGACCGAAGGGGCCACAACGAAACGAGGAGATGAAAGGAAAGCGAGCACTCTGTCCAAAGACCAGGACGGCTCAGGCGACGCATGAGCAGGCCGGAGGTGAAACAATGCACGAGACAGCTTGCGAAACGGCGCAGACGTAACATCGATACCGAAAGCAAGCTGAAGCGGCTCCGCCAGCGCCGCACGATACGAAGCGACAGTGTTAGGCATAAGATGACGGTCTTGAAACAACCACGAGAGGAAGGACAAGACCACCCGAACAGACAAGGAGCTAACACGACGAAGACGCAAAAAGAAACGGAAGGACCGCCAGGAAAACTGCATACTGCCGCCGAGAAGAAGCCCTCAGGTGGGACACCAACAAGGAGGCCACCTGATCACCATAGAGATGATGATAGACTCGAGTCAAAAAAACCATACGCGAAGACTCGAGGAGAAGATCGAACCAGCTACGTGACGTACCGGCCCGATCTGCTGAAAGAGGCGGAGCCGCGGGAAAAACCCTCGGGTTCGGACACCGAGCAACCAGCGCCTGAAACCAAGGCTGGGCCGGCCACCAAGGGGCCAGAAGGACAACTTTCCCCCGGTAAGTCTCTAAGCGAGTCAGGACCTGGAGCAACAGCCGAACCGGGGGAAAGAGATACAGGAACCCCCACCTCGTCCAGTCGAGCCGAAAGGCATCGACCCCGACGGCCTCGCAATCGGGGAAGGGCGCCGCATAAACGGGAAGACGCCGCGACCACGCCGACGCGAAGAGGTCCACCTCGGGGCGCCCGAACGTCTGGCAAAGCCAAAGGAAGGACTCGTCGTCGACCGTCCACTCCGTGGAGAGAGGAACGAAGCGAGACAGGGCGTCGGCCAAGACGTTGGACACGCCCCGTACGTGAACCGCCAGGAGAGCCAAACCACGAGAACTCAGCAGACGAGTCACCCGAAGCGACCAACCCCAAAGAGACAAGGACCGCATCGAACCCCCGCGGTTCAGGCAATGAACCACCGGAGAGCAGTCCGAATGGAGCCGAATCGTCGATCCGCGGGCCACCCGAAGCCTCCCCAGAGCAAACCACACTGCCGCGAACTCCCGCACCGTACTGTGAGCTCGACGGAAGGACGGATCCCAACGCCCCTGGCCGGCCTGGTGAGCACTGGTCACAAAACCCCAGCCGAGACGACGCATCCGTGTACACATGGAGCGAGGGCTCGGGTAGGCGCCAAGGCACTGAACCCCGGAAAACCCGAAGAGGAAACCGGTGACGCAGCAACCGACGCAAGTCCCCTGGGGGTCGAACTCTGCGATCGCGAGAGAGGCGGAAGGGGGAACCCCGAAGGAACCAGAACAGCCGTCGAAGCCAAACCCGACCCGGCGGGTAGACCACCATCGCGAAGTTCAGGCTCCCGCACAGCCCCTCGAGCAACCGCCGGGTGACCCGAGGGCCCTCCAGAAACAGACGAAGGCGGGACCGCAGCCGCAGGAGAGACTCCGGAGGGAGAGACAAGGAGGCGGTTCGAGAGTCCCACACGAGACCCAGCCATGTCCGAACCTGAGAGGGAACCAGATGGGACTTCCTCCAGTTCACCAAGAACCCGAACCCGGCGAGCTGGGAAAGAACCAAATCCCTGGCTAGCAAGCAAGCTGACAGGCTGGGAGCCCAAACCAGCCAGTCGTCGAGGTAGGCCAACACTCGAACACCTAGGAGACGCAAACGAGCCACTACAACCCGTGTAAAGGCGTGTGAACACGCGAGGTGCCAGGTTCAACCCGAACGGGAGACAACGAAAGCGGTAACTCAGACGCCCCACTACAAAACCGAGCCAGTCCCTGAACCGCGGATGAATCGGGACATGCCAATAAGCGTCCCGGAGGTCCAGGGACACCATCCAAGCTCCCGGCTCCAAGAGGAGCCGAACCTGAGACAGCGTAGTCATCCGAAAGGAGGGGCAATGAACCCAGGGGTTCAGACGGGACAAGTCCAGAATGAACCGCAGGTCCGCGCAGTCCCGTTTCGGAACCGGAAACAGACGGGAAACCCATCTGAGGGACGACGTCGTTTCGACGACGCCCAAGCGTACCCACTCCAAGACGACTCGACAGAGCGCAGGGGAAGAAGCCTGCCCTGCCAGCCCCGACCCCCCAAAGAGGGGAGGGGCCACCCAACGCCACCGCAGGCCGCGAGACACGACCCGAAAGGCCCACGAATCGTGGGACCAGGCGCGGGCGAACAGCGCAAGCCGCCCCCCCATCGCCCCGTCAAAGGGGCAAGCCGCGAAAGGGCCGGCGACCCCTACGAGACCCAGAACCCCGCACAGCGCGAACACCGCGCCGACCAGACGAGGGAGGGTCCGCAGGAGGAGCCAACCCCAAACCTGACACCAGAGGCCTACCACGACGAGAGGAACCCCGAGCCCTGGCACGACCTTTCCGGGAAGACCCACCCCGGGACCCCCAGAAAACTTCAAGTCCGACATCGGACGACAAGCCGCCGACGCAGCCTGAATAAACTGCGCCACGGCCGACTCCCCAAACAGGAGAGGACAAAAAGGTGAAGAACGCCTAAGAGCCAGAGCCCAAGCAGATCCCATGGAGGAACCCAGCACCGCCTGCCGACACGCGAGACGGGAAGCATAGAACAGGGAAACCGCATCCCGCAAAATCGGCGTGAACAGCTTCAACAAGGCAGCCGACGAACGCGCAGCCGAGGACAAGGTGCCGGACCCCGGGACGGACCCAAGCGTCCCCACATCCTCCACGAGCCAATCCGAAGACAGCTCCAGGAGGGAAAAGAACCGCAAGGCCGAACACAAAAGGCCCCGAGCGCGCAAGTCCTCCGCCACGAGCGCCGCCGAAAGGGAGGGAACCTGCACATGGAGCTGAATAACGCCCACATCGCGGGGAAGGGCAGGGGCAAACAAGCACTCATTCAGGTACTCAAGTTCACCCCCCAGGAAAACCTGAAGCACCGTGGAAGCTTCCCGCCACTCCAGCGTGCGGGAACGACAGAAGGAATGCCAGGAATCCAGACCAAACAAGGGGCAGTCTGCTAGCCAGGACGACTCCGGAACCTCGTAACGGAGCCAGAAAGGGAACGAAGTCCCAAACCTGAACGTGGACGGATCCATTTCCGAGGCATAATCCGGGTCACGCAGGAGGTAAGCCGCAAAGGCCGCTCGCACCACACCAGGTTGGATGCGAGAAGCCGAAAACCTCCGGAAGGACGGAACCGACGTACCCGGGGGAACACGGAACCGTACCCGGGGAGGGGCCTACACCAAATCCAACTCGTACGCAGAGGGGGGGAAAGAAAACCCCACTCCTTGTAACAATAAGCCCCGCTCAGTGGGAAGAAAAACCCAGGCGGGGTCCAGCGGGGCCCAAGGCCCCCAAGTCAGCCCCTCCCCAGCCTCGAGGTCCGTCACCACAGGACCCGAGGCCGAGTCCTCTCCCCAAGCCCCGACCCCACAAGACAAGGACGGAGCAGCCGGAAAAGCTGGAGGAAGAGGGGCCCACTGGTCAGACCCTGAAGCTTCGGCCGGGAGACAAGACTCGAATGCCTCTGCCGCCCCCCCGGAAGGGGCAACCCCCGAAGCTGCCCGAGTCTCGAGATCAAGTAACCCCTGCTCCGACCCCGAAACCCTCAGACGCTTCGGGGCCGGAAGCAGGGGCGGGGGACCAGAACGAACAGAAGGGGAAGGACGAGGAGGTGCGGACTGAACCAGGATCGAAGCGACCCCCACCCCCAAGTCCGGGTCTCGAAAAGCAAAGCGGGGCAGCCCCGGGGCATCCGGGGAAGCAACCAACCGAGCGCGTTGCAACAGACGAAACCTAGACTGCAACGCACGTGCCGCCTGTACCCGAATAGAATCAGAGGATTGGGTAAATTGAGTCACAAGCAAGCAGCAACACTCACAGGA